CGGACTTTATCCGAATTCCTCTTGACTTCAGTCACGTTCTGTCATTCTTGAGGCGCGAGTGCCATTCAAAACACCTTGCACACTTCACTGCTTTTTGACATAAGCCTTCTAAATCATTTCAGAGTTCTCTGTTTTAGATGTGTCGAGTTTGACGTAAAATTGATGGTCGCCCTAGCTTTGGTTGACAGCCTATGGAAAGATCGTCATTATGCTCGTGCATGTGGTCAAACAAATTCGTGTATCGCAGTTCCACATGTTCACAGAGCGACGGCCTTTGGCATAACGACGCAGGGAGGTCCCTGCCTTCGACTGCTGCGCGCGCATCACTCTGCTGCCTTCTCTTTTTACGCCACAAAATTAGACTCTGAACTTTTTGATCCCATCTCGTATTTAGTCCAGCACACTAAGTCCGCAAAGGACCGCCGTCGGCGAGTAATAAAAGTAGAGAACATTTTGTAAGAAGGCGACCGTTGGTGGTGATTCACGCTTAGTGCAGGGTACTTAGTCCGCGGGTGGCCGGCAAGGCGAGTTATACTTAGTCTAGCATACTTAGTCCACCGGCGACCTTCGGGAGCAAGTCATACTTAGTACAGCATGCTAATCTGCGGGAAAGTATTGGTGGCGATTCATGCTTCTTCCAGCGTACTTTGTCTGCACGCGACTGTGGGCGTGTGCCACTGATTCCCGATGAGCTTCCTATACGTGGGCTCACGATATCACGGAGTGAATCAACGTACCAAGGAATAGCCCAGTGGGGGTATGATGTCAGAGCGTCGGACAAAAACATAATGATAGAGTAAAAAGCGCGATAAACCTCCTCCCCTCGCAATTAACTTCAGTTGCCACAAGGGGCTCCTAAAAATCCAAGAGTACAAAGAAGTCAAGACCCTACACGAAGCAGCCACAAGATTAAAAGCCACTTAAAACTTATCATTAAAACATGCTTGTGACACATCCCTACTCCCAAAGAAATTTTAACTTGATCAGTCTGACGAACCGGGAACTCACAGGAGTGTGTTGTATGTGCGGCGAATCCGAAGCCTCCTAAGTTCCCCGCAACCAAGCTTAGTGAATCTGAGGCCGAGGGCACACTGCGTATGCGTCATACAAACACGGGGTGACACTGCTCGCCCATCATACAAAAGACAGCCCGCAAACACCTGTCACTGTGGTTCGAATGGCGCCGTGCCAAGTTTTATGCTTGAACGCATTGCCATGCGGCCTTCGAAGCACGGATCTCGCGGTGACTCGCGTTCGATTCTGTATCCATGACTCTCTTTTGTCTGATGTATAAGCAGTGTGACCCCGGATTTACGCGCGCATAATACACGCACGACAAATTTTGTGGTACCCGAGTTTATCAGAATGATCAAGGCAAGTTTTTCTGCACAAGAACGACGGCTCTGCGAGGTACCGAAAAGGATGCACTTCACCAGGCGCAGTCACAGACCGTATACAGCTCGTGAGGTCCCACTTTGGCTGTTGACACGCGGTGTGCCGAGTCGGAGGAGTGCGACGGAGGATTCGTGATATTACGGTGTAAACTGTTCATTTACCCCATATTTACACGAATACGTATGTTACAAACCATGTGCGCATGTGATCTCTATGTACAAAGTAGGGGATTCCTGGTTGACCCGTTACGGGGTCACGATCCTAGCCGAAAATCGCCCTCTCTAGCTAGGACACGGGCTTTTGAGGGCAACGACCTCCTTGCCCTCAGGCTTGAGTTAGCCAAATGTTTTAAACCTCAACGAATGCACGTGACGCAGACGGACCAATTGTCGCCATTGACATCTGTCAAGCCTGCAACGGATCCCCTGGCTGACAGCTCCGACGAGAGCCACAGGGTCCCCCGTGCACTGGGCCCCCGCCACCCCGTCGCCTTCACCGAGACCCGATCGGCCGCGGAGAGGGCGCGCGCGAATGTAAGGACCCCCGCCACTTAAAGAAAAACACATACGAAGGTCGCGCCGTCGGGAGAACCTTCACGAGGAAAGACCCCTGCTCGAGAGACAAAGCGGCCAAAATAAACACAAATATTCCCCCCCCCCCCCCTCTCCCTTCCCCTCCCATTGCCAAACCTCAACAAAAGCTCGACCATCGTTACAGTTCCTATTTGTGGTCTGCATTATTTTACTCCTCCTTGGAAAATAGCGATCTAAGATTGCGTAATGTGGGTTATCTCAAACGTGTGGCTAACTTGTCAGTCATGATACGATTATTGAAACAGTACGGCACTTTTAATATTTCCGATCTAAAAATGTTCGGAACTGAATTAGAAAAATAACAACGTTCAGCCTGGTTCTTTTAAACTTCGTATTTGTACTCAGTGGTGTGTTCATCAACAGGTTCTTCTGGCATTAATGAAAAAAAAAAAACAATCTTAACTCTTGTTCGTCATTTATATTACATGTGTGAAACGCTACAGTAATGGTGCAGCAATATGCTCAGCAGATGTTTTGTGATTTCCATAATTATGCGCATTATTAGATATAAAGCTTTATAATAAGCAATATAACTTGCTAAACGTACCATTCAACAAACATTGAAAGCTGCCTCAAAGTATACTGCGGTGCATTTCGTGCGTGCTCTAAGATGGTGTTTTTTGTCCCTTCTAAAATATTACGCAAGCATTAAAAAATGTCATGTCACCCGCGCCACAATTTTTTAATAGTGGTACTATAGTTGGTACGGCCAGCTTATTGCACACGCGATTGTATATTAAAAGAAAAACAAAAAGATGCCATGTATTGAGTTCGAAAAACGATAGAATCGGTAAATTAGTTGTTCCACCCACATGTTTTTGAGCAGAACGCAAGCAAAGCACATAAATGCTCCGAAGTTTCAACTTGCGTGACTTGTACAATTTAGAGTTTTTATAGTCTTGCCTGTCCCGCTCTGAAGATGCTACTAAGCGGATCGTCGGCTTCGGCTTTGAGGCTCCTAAAAAATGATTTTTAAGCTTTTTTTTTTTTATCAGCGTCAGTCTACAAGTACTCTGTTTGCCAGTCTTGTGTAAGTTTAAGTTTGAGTAAACTTGCAGGTTTTGTGCAAGCCTTGAGTTTCAACAAACTCGCCGGTCTTGTGCAAGTTTGAGTTTCGATTGAATTGCAGCCTGTTGTGCAAGCTCATCGAAAAATTAAGTTACTCTGTGAAGCTTCTCGGAGGTTCAGCAAGATTAAAGAAACTGGCATTCTTCATACGTCCGGACATCCCTGCCTTGCCACAGCACTCCCTTTTTGGGGAACTGTTTTTTTTCCCTTCCACTTTTAAAATAAGGGGAATAGGCGCTGCCTTTGACACTAGTATTTTATTTTTTTTCATGAAGTACAGAACCCTAGCAAGACAAAACAAAAAAGTTATTTATCCTTCTTTCTGCCGCGTATATGATTCGCATCTGCGCAAAGGCAACTTTGGCTAGACAAAAATATTTTCCCACCGGTCTCGGACAAAGGAAATTGCTGGATGGTGATTTGTGTCTTCCCGGGAGAAACTGACAGCGCCAGAATTTAGAAAAAGAAAATATAAAGCTGCTGCAAGGGAAGTGTTCTTTTATCTCATTTTGTGAGTATTGCAAAACTCTTTTCAATCTATAGTTTTTCTCATTTAGAGGGCTAAGCTGCACGTAAGTTCATGCAGCCGAAGCAGCTTCTAAAGCAACACTCGCTTCATGAATGCATAAAACGTACGCCAACACTCTGTTTGAAAATAAGCTCGCGTTTGCTCACACTAGATGGAAGCAGTGCGCGTGCGCAGACACCGGATTCGCGTGAGATGAAGCGCTTTCGCCGTGCCGACAGCAGCGCCACCGCAGCAGCGTGACGTCGGAGCCATGCGTCGGTCTATGCAGCTTTCCAGCGCTTATCACCCGGGCAATGGATACCGAGTCACCGGGCTGTGGACGCATGCGCGCCGTTGGATATTTCACAGCAGAGGTTTGCTGCGCATGCCCAGTGCGCGTGCCACAGCCCAGGAGACAAAAATGACAGCGCTCAGAAGCCGATTATTGTAAAGGTGTTTGCGGAGAGCGAGTCGTCTGCTTTCTGCGCACGCGCAGGAAGCGGACGTCACCGTAACCCCTGCCGGGGGTTACGGTAACGTGAGAGCGACGCCGAGTTCTGGTTGCCTTTGATTGGAAGGATTGTGGGTAGACCTCTTTCAGTGCTAGATGCACTGAGGTCTATCCACTATGTTTTTTTTTTCTCTTTTCAATCAGCCAATAGGAGTTTGGTGCTCTGACATCATCGCAACTCCTGCGCCAGAAGCAGACGAACTTGCGCTCCGCAAAGACGCTTTGCAGCAGCTGTGCACGGGCGCCGCCATAACCGACATCCAGTCTTTGATTCCTCTTAATCCGTTTTACATCACTTCATCATTAGCAAAGCAGGACAGGTTACTGCCATTTTAGGTTCTACCGTGTCCTCCAAATGCATCGGCCTTCCTGGAGGCTCGTCAACGCCCGCTTCAGTGGCTCGGCATCTCGCCGAGACAAGAGAATGATCAGCAATGGCGGATGAAATCCGGCGCGTGTGCAAAGCGCTGTGTCGGCGTTGCCATACGTATCTGAACGAACGTTTCCGAACGTTTCCGAACGTTTCTTTCGAGGCCCTCTCGGAAAGTGATATCGAAGCTTCCACCCGATGAGCAGGATTGATTCAATGCCACCTAGAAAACAACACCTATACCTGGACCTACCCTCTCCCCCCTCCCCCCCCCCCCAAAAAAAAAAAAAAAGAATCATCGTTAGTGGATTTAAGCAGCGCCGCCGCTTGCTTGCGTCAGCGTCGCCGCCAACGCGTCGCGCAGCGCCGCACAACAAGCGCAACGCCGGCACGCGGCGTCGCCAAGACCAACGCGTTTGTCGCTTTGCGTCGTACTCTCGGCTAGCTTCGGCTTCTTTGCCGCTTGGAGCAGGTCGGTCGGAGAGCCGCTATCGGTGACGTCATGGGCAGGCCCTTCTAGGGGGGCGTTGATTGACGCCACCGGTGGGTGCTCACCTTTGTCGGCGTCTTCGAGACTCTGCTTGAGCGCCCTCGATCCCTTCTTCGTATCGAAGATGTACTCGTAGATGAGACCGGCCAACAGACCTCCAGCCACAGGTCCGAACCAGTACACCTGCAGAGGAGGATGCAGAAGTAAAGGAGGTTTTTGGCGCTTCGAGTTTGAGAGAAGGCAGCTTCGTCTGTACCCCACGTAAGCTGCAAGCGCAAACAAGCCATCACCGTTTTTTTTTCTTGTTTTTTTATTTATTGAACGTCTGCTTTAAAAACTACTACAATGATGAAAAGGGCTCAGTTGGAGGTGCTAACCTAAGGGGTAAATTTTGGTGGTCGCCAGTACCCTTACGAAGTAAAATGCAAAAAAGCGCCGAAGTCGTGCTCGTGCTAACACTGTCGCGCAGCGTGTACTTTAAGAACAACAAAAACGAAGCTTTCCACAGTTCATATCGCGAACCTTTTTGGGTAGACGCAACGAAACAACCAAAGGAATGTCCTGTCCGTGTTCGTTTTCATGCTTTTCCATTCTTTCGCGTATATACGCGTAGAAGGAAAAAAGGACGAATGTAGTGAGTCAGTTCTGTGTCTGTGTCCTCCTTCTTCTTGTCCTTGTGTTCATTAGCGCGGTTTACTATTATTTATTCCAAGCACATTTGCGGAAAAAAAAGATTTTAATTAACTAGAAACAGCATTTGTTTTTTGCATGTTAACTATCACGGCGCGTCACTGTTCCTTACAGACATGTCTATTTATATTCTGAGATAATTCGCCCTGTAATCTCTCCCGACAGGCAGTCTAAGTGGCACAGGGTGTTCATTCTATATGAAAATAAACTGACGCCCAGCGAAATGAAAGTGGAACAGACGCTTCAAGACCGAAGGCTTCAGAGAAAATATAATTACCAACAAAGAACGTCGACCAGGTCCCGTAACAGATCGCATTTGAAACAAGTTACTAGCATGTATTCAAGTCACAGTACCATGGACATAAATACTTCACAAAGGATTGCCCGTTTTAATTATAGTTAAAACACCTCTCTTCAATTGCCATCACCAAAATTCGCAAAGCAAGTTGTAGCCACGGTGACAGCTTTGTAACTGCTTTAAAAATCATGAGCCATTCCACTCTGTGAAGGTGGATTGACCAGCGAAGCTGTTTTTCACACGACACAGACCCGCCCCGAGGAGCCGGAGGAAACTAGACACGCGCGACGGGACCGCTACCCCGGAAGAGCGGAAGGAAAGGAAACTGGGCACGCAAGCGGCTTGGAACGACGACAAAGAGAGGACGGTGCGAGCGTAGACAAGGCCGACGCGGGTCGCACAGCGGCAAATCTTTAAAAACATTTATTATCTACCTGGGAGTCTACTGATCTTGAAAATGGTGCCTGTTGATAACTAATCTACTGAATAGACCTATTGCTAAATCACCCAAGCATCAAGGAGAATGCAGGGAATGGTGTTCCACGCGCCGCACGTGCCGGCGTCTGCAGCAGTAACTGTTCTAAAGCAAAAAAAAAAAAAAAAATGGCATCTTGCACGCGCGTTCCTCAACGCTTTGTTTTAGTTATTTACTTCGAACCATTTATATTAGGAAAACGTGCACGTGCGGCGCTGGCGTTTGCAGCAGTTACCGTTCATTCACACTGGAAGCGGATCCGTGTTCGCAGAGCGGTTGCGAACGCGGTTGTATAAAGTTCCAGTACAATTGCACGCGCACTTGATGTCATCGAGTGCGCGTGCAATTGTACTGGGTCTTTATACAACCGCGTTCGCAACCGCTTCCAGTGTGAATGAGCGGTTACTGTTCTAAAGCAAAAGCTAGTGCCACTAAATAAGCAACGCTTCAGAGTAACGGCACTTGCCAATATTGTGGCTTAAAATCATGGTTGCCAGTTATCTGAAGCTTTATCTGAAATCATAGGAAACGTTTTTCCGTCCTCCACAAATGTTTAAACCGTTCGCGACAGAGCAAAGCAATATTACATGAGCTTATTAACGCCGAATCTAATTCTGTGGAAGTCGCACTTTCGAATCATGACGATCGGCAGTTGCGTCTGCTCTGCACAAGCACCAAAATGGCGGCGCCCATAACATTGTCGGGGAACAGAGTACCGATACTCTAAGCGCATCTCATATAGCGGTTCTAGGACAAACCTAAAACAAATGGCATCTTGCACGCGCGTTCGTGAACGCTTTGTTTTGGTTATTTACTTCGAATATTTTATACAGGGAAGGCCTGCGCGTGCGGCAAGTGCGGCGGTGCCAGCGTAGAGCTTTTAGTCACTGCACACGAAAAATCCACGAAGCCCTAACCATAAACAGCTTCGCTGTAAAATCGGAAAGAAGGTTGTTTCGTCTTCATGCAAAGCAAATAACGACATCTTCGAAAAAAAACAACATAAATACGAGGAAGGTAAGTGGTGCGAGTTTGACCCATGGGCGATGTAAAGGGTCAGACACTTGAGGACAAAACCAACGACCAGTCGTACGACGCGTCGGAAAGCCCTAGACGGCCGGTACGAAAATTGCTCACCGCGAAACTCATAATAATACATATGCCCCGAGACGCTGAGGTATAGATGAAGACAAAAGCTTGCGGGGACGTCAGTACGCCGAACTCTGGTTGGAAGGATTAGTGGGCAGACCTAAAGCCAGCTGCGTACTACAGTCGTAGAACGCGTTAGAACGCGGAACGCCGGCTTCCGACACATGGCTCTTGCACTCGAACGCGTTCGACAAGTGCAGTGGAGACAAGGGCAGCTTGCGTCTCTACCGCACTTGTCGAACACGAGGAGATGGAGCGGCGGCGTCCCCGTGTTCGGCGAGTGCGGTGGCCTATGCAGCCACCGCAATCACCTATGCAGGATTTGTGGACATAAAATCGCCAGTTTCTATAGTTCCACAACTTTGTGTAGGTACGGGAAGGTCACCTGTGATGGCCCTAGTTCGGTACTCAATAGACTACTTTCATAAGTATGTCGCCGAACTCGTTACCTTATGGGAACCTGTGGGCCAAGAGTGGAGCGCGTATGGATTTTGCTTCCCACTCATTCCCACTACGCATAACGCGGCGTTATACGCTGCGATGAGGCGCTTTGAATTTTGGAATAAGTATAATAAACTCAAACGTTGTATTGATACAACGTCTGAGTTTGTAAGAAAAATAGATGGAACTTGATTCAGCCCGGTCTCACCAAGAAACCGGTCCAAGAAAATTGAGCAGGTTTACTCCACTGCTAAGATTAAACCATTTGTAAACACAGTGCGAAAAAAAAAGCATGAAAAGAAACGCTGCGTATAAAGAAATCGCGTTCTGGAGAAATTATGCACGAAGAGAAAATAAACGGTGGGGGTTCCGCAGAGCTGAAAATTTGTTGGTAGCCCATAGAAGTTCAAATATGTTGAATCACTGAATGTAACATGTCGGTCATGACCCGAAGTCATGATCCACCTCATCGTAATTCTGACACTGCCGCTTTTAGTTGCGCGTCATTGGGTTGCGCCATTTCTCCGCTGTGGAAGAGCATCAATACGTTAGCCAGGCGCTTGAAAAGACGGCGCGCCCGACAGAACGGGCATAAACTACAAGTTCGGAATTCGATTCAGCGGCGGTTTACGAAGATAAGCACAGCAACGCTACATGTCGAACTTCACGAATACTCTCTCGTTCTCTCTTTTTGTTTCGAAGGCGTTACGAAAACTACTCGCGAAATTGAACTCACTTTCTTCTATTCAATCCAGAAAACAACGCCGCTGACAAACTGCGCGCAACAATACAGTCGACAGCGACAACACGGGCACCGTCGCCAAATAACACAAGAATAAACAACGTCTCAAGGGGCGCTCATCTGAGAAAATGAGCTTGCCGCCACATACGGCTCGGGTAATGCAAAAGGCACTTTAAAAAAAATATATATATATATATTTATATATTGAGAAAAAACTAAATATTAGTCCTCCGACGTTTTTCCGGGGATCCAAAGGGGGAACCCGAGATTAGCGGCGCACACACACTTCGGAACGCAAAAGACACTTAAAAAAAAAAAAAAATTATATATTGAGAAAAAACTAAATGTTAGTCCTCCGACGTTTTTCCGGGGATTCAAAGGGGGAACCCGAGATTAGCGGCGCACGCACACTTCGGAACGTGAACGTCTATGAAAGAAAAACAAGAAAAAACATGATAAAAAAGTGCATAAAAGGGGGAGCCATTTCTGCGGTGGAGCGCTGTGAGCTTGGTCGGTGCCTTTCTCAAGACACTCGGTGTCGGGATCGGTGCCGGCGAGCGACAGGACGCGTGAAATATCGCACCCGAGAGGTCGGATCTTTGCGGAGGGGTGCAGGTTTACTCGGCGGCACGCAGGCACGCAGCTAGAGCAGCCGGGATCGCCGGGCTGAAAGTAGCTAGGATTCGAGCAAAAGACCCGGCCGAGGCGTCGTTCGTCGTCGCCGGGGATCGATGTCGTCTTCCGTTCGCTTCGGTTAGCGCGAGCTGCAGAGAAGTGGCGGGCAACAACAGCAACGACGGGGAGAGACGCAGAGTCAACTCCTTCAGGAAACCGCATTTTTGTTCAGGGGGTGCTGCGCGCCCTGGTGCGTTGAAAATCTCAACCGCGAGGCGTAATTTTTGTTTACTTTTTTCTTTTTTTTGAATAAATGTGAACTGTTGACTATATAGAGCGCCTCGAGAAACACGACAGCTGCTTCCAACCGCGACACGGCAGCCGTCGGAATTCAATGCTTAAATGCGTAAACGCGAGTTCGTGTGCTCCCCAGGCCGTTTCGGTCGTTGGAAATGCAGCTAACCTACAACTGCGTATATCTCAAGTAATAAAAACGACCAGTAGCACAACTCGAGGTAGGGTTATTAAATGTATGTGCTTGTATTTGCTGCAAACGTTTGATGTGGTGCGCACGGAGCCAAAACTGGAGGGTGCTGCTGGGTTCAGTAGTATAGTAACGAAATGGAACATCAGCGTTACAACATCCGTGCGCGAAGGATTCGTAAGGAAGCGAAAAAAGTAACATTCAAATTGTTTGTGAAAATGCTGCGAATGGTGATACGTAATTGGGTGCACTCGCGCGCACTATCATAGATAGTGAGCGGTAGAATCAA